ATTATATTATTTTATATTGCGCTTATATATACACATTTATATATGCTGGGCATCACCTCGTAGTGTGGATGGGGTCCGCCGTTCGGTGCTCGAGGGCGTACCTGGACAGGTGCGTGAGCGTCGAGCGGCACGGCGGGCGCCGTCCCCTGCCTGGAGCACCCCAGATGCCAGCCGGCGACGTGCTGTCTCGTCTTTGTGGGGGGCTCTGGCGCAGTGGTTTCGCGGGGGTTCCGGGAGCGCGATTTCCCCTTTGCCTGCGTTATTTGCCCCTCCGCCTCTTCCTTCTGCTCCCTCCCTCAGTTTTCTCGTCCTTCTTCTGCTGCTCTCCCTCGCGGTTCTCCTGCGAGGTGGTGGAGATCGGCGAGAGCACAATCAAAGTGAAGTGGGACCACGACCAGTCCGAGTCGGAGTGCCCTAAAGACGAAGTCCGACTGAAAGACGGCGCCGGGACTGAGGACGGGGGCCGACGGGGGCAGGAGTGTGGAGAACCGCAGTAGGCACGGAAGGAATGGTGTCCAAGACCAACAGCAGTTCTCGCCCATTTTGAACAGGACTCGTTGTCAGCGTCACGGCTGACGTTGTCCTTTGGAGACTCAAAGGCGTTTGCGCAACAGCGGCCGCTGTCGGTTTGGATCAACATTCGGTATGGGGCATCGTGTCAGTTATTCCGTACCCATTCCGGGTGTCCGAGAGGAGGTGTAGAGAGGCCGCCCATGCGCACAAGTTAGGTCAGAGTCGGAGGATACCGTGCCAAGGTTTGAGGCCGCGCACGTGCGTGGCCTCAGCAGGCTTCCTGCTAGCGGAGGTAAGCGGGGTGAATCGCCCAGCGGCGGGCATTAGTTGCCGTCGCCGGGGAGTCTCGTCGAAGACGTGGGCGAACGCAGCCCCTGTGTACTTGTTTGTATTATATCCTGTGGAGCTATTGCCAGAGTCCGGTATCCCAAAACAGCGCTATTGGGGCAAAGGTGGTTCCCAACAGTGTTCGCGCGTTCTCTTGCTTCTGATCCGCCTGCGCCTTCGGCGTCGTCGTCTACCTGGTCGTGATCGACGTCGTCGTCCTCTTGCCCCGCATCCACGTAATTCTCCTTTTCGTCCTCGCCCCCCCCCCCCTTTCCACTACATCTCCTCCTCCTCCTCCTCCTCCTCCTCCTCCTCCTCGTCATCATCATCATCATCATCATCATCATCATCATCATCATCATCATCATCATCATCATCATCATTTCCCTTCTGTCTTCCCCCCGCTTCTTCTCCTTCTCTTCAACTTCTCCCTCCTCTTCCTCCTCCTCGTCATCAACCCCATACTCAACCTCCTGGTCCTCCTACCCCTCATCTTCCTTCTCATCCTCCTCCTTCTTCCATTATTCCTCATCTTCCTCATGCTCCTCCTGGTGCGATTCCTCCTCGTCGTTTTCGTCCTTCCCCTCCTCGTCATCCTCTGCCTCGTCATCGACCTCCTTGTGTTTGTCCTCCTGCTTCTCCTCCGCCTTCTCCTCCTCCTCCTCGACGTGATCCTCCTTGTGTTCCTCGGTCTCCTCCTCGTGCTCCTCATCCTCGCCCGCTTCGCAGTGCTCCTCCTCTTCTCCCTCCTCTTCCTCCACCTCCGCCTCCTCCTCTGCTTCCTCATCCTCCTCCTCCTGGTGCGATTCCTCCTCTTCGTTGTCTTCCTTCTCCTCCTCCTCGTATCCTCTGCCTCGTCATCGACCTCCTCCTTATGTTTCTCCTCCTTGTATTTCTCCTCCTCCTGCTCAACGTGATCCTCCTTGTGTTCCTCGTTCTCCTCCTCGTGCTCCTCGTCCTCCTCCGCTTCGCAGTGCTCCTCCTCCCCCTCTTCTCCCTCCTCTTCGCCCTCCTCCGCCTCCTCCTTGGGATGCTCCTCCTCCCCCTCGTTCTCGCATTCCTCCTCCTCACCCTCCCCCTCGTCTTCCCCATTCTTTACCTCCTGCTCCTCCCTCTCCTCCCTCCTCCTCCTCCTCCTCCTCCTCCTCCCCCTCCTCCTCCTCCCTCCTCCCCCCCTCCTCCTCCTCCTCTCCTCCTCCTCCTCCTAATCCTCCTCCTCCTCCTCCTCCTCCTCCTCCTCCTCCCTCCTCTTCTCCGCTCCGTCCGCCATGTCTGGGATGCCTCCGCATCCGCGATGCCGCTTCCAGGAGGCACTCGTCATGGATGTCCTCAAACAGGTAACGTTTGAGCCTGGTCCCGCCTCTCTCCTCATTCATTCCTCTCGCGCAGCGGAGCTATTTTCTCCTCCCGTTTTCCTCCCCGATCCTGCCTCCTCCCAGCCCGCCGCGCTTCAGTCGAGGCATCCTCCCTCGGGCCGAGGGCGTTCAGACCTCTGCCAGAGCACAAGTCGACAGCAGGAGAATCAAGTGGATCGTTTGGGTCTGACCCCTCCTCGCTTCTCTCCCCATCCTTCTCGGAGCCCATAGCTCCAAAGATGTTTCAAGCGAAACGGGCCAGACCACCTCGCGCACATTTTCTGAGAGCCCAGAGTTGCGAGGATGTCTCAGGCAAAACTCAGGCAAAACGGGCTGGAGCATCCCCCGCACTTTTTCAAAGAGTCTACAGTTGCGGGGATGTCTCAGGCGATACTCGCCAAACCACATCGCGCGCAGCATCTCGGAGCCCCGAATTGCGAGGATGTCTCAGGCGAAGCGGGCTGGACCACCTCGCGTGTGACATCTGGGGGCTCAGAGTTCCGAGGATGCCTCAGACGGCGTCCAGACCCATCCCGGAGCACAAGTCGAAAAAAGATGTGGAATCACATGATTCGATTGGGTCCGACTCCTCCTCCCTCTCTGAGACAAGAGGTTCGAGGATGGGAGCCCCGAGTTGCGAGGATGTTTCAGGCGAGGCGGGCTGGGCCACCTCGCGCGCGACATCTTGGAGCTCAGAGTTCTGAGGATGCTTCAGGCGGCGCCCGGGCCCTCCCATAGCACAAGTCCACAACAAAAGTGTTTTTAAATGGGTCGTTTGTGTCTGACCCCTCACCACCACCACAGCATTTTGCTTCTTCCGGTACTTCGCCACCAGGTCTCTGTACCTGGCGTTTCTTTGCATGCACTTCGTCTTCAACTCCGCCTGTTTCCTGGGCTTTGCCCTCTCCTGGCCTTGACGTGGGGCCCCGCCTTCTGCCTCCCCCCCTCTCCTGGCACGGGGCCCCGCCTTCTGCCTCCCCCCCTCTGTCAATTGAAGCTGTGCGCGGCCCGCTTAGCTTCGACGGGAAGAGGTGCGCTCTCGACCCGCAGACCAAAAAAGTGTCTGACCCCTCCCTCCCTCCTTTTTCCTTACTCTCGGAGACCAGAGTTCTGAGGATGTCTCAGGCGAAGCATGTCGGAGCCCAGATCACCTCGCCCGCAGCAGCTCGGAGCTCCGAATTGCAAGGACATCTCAAGCGAAACGGGCCACATACACACACACCCACACACACACGATTGTGCACATTTTCTTCGAGCTCAAGGTTGCAAGGATGCTTCAGGCGAAACCAGCCAGAGCACCTCTCGCGCAGCATCTTGGAGCCAGGGGCGCGAGGATGTCTCGGGCGAGAGGCGCAGGACCACCTCTCGCGCGGCAGCTCGGAACGCAGAGGTGCGAGGATGTCTCAGGCGAAACGCGCCGGACCACCTCGCGCTTGGCAGCTCGGAGCCTCGAGTTGCGAGGATGTCTCGGGCGAAACGCGCCGGACAACCTCGCGCGCGGCATCTCGGATCCCCGAGTTGCGAGGATGTCTCAAGCGAAACGTGCCGGACCACCTCGCGCGCGGTGTTCTGGAGCCCGGATTTCTGAGGGTGTCTTCGGCGAAACTGCCCGGAGCACCTCTCGCACGGCATCTCGGGGCTTAGAGATTCGAGGGTGTCTCAGGGGCGAAACGGCCCGGACCACCTCGCGCAAGGCGTCCCAGAGCCCAGAGTTTCGAGGATGTCCCAAGTGAAGAGGCCCAGAATATTTCTTGCACGGCACCTCGGGGTTTCGATTTTCAAGGGTATCTCAGGCGAAATTACCCGGAACACCTCGCGCTGGGCGTCCCAGAGCCCAGATGCTCGAGGATATCTCCAGCGAAAATACCAATCCTGCAGAATCTCAGAGATGATAACTTGCCGGAATTAGCTTCTACCACAACAGCCCCCCTTTCGGCAAGCTGTTTAGGATTTCAGCATCCCGGGGATTCTCTTCCAAGGGAGGTTGTCCGGAGGCGTTGTTTGGATACCCGCGGGGTTGCTCAAGGGGCTGTCAGTGGCAAGGTCGTGCTGTCGTTGAGTGCTCAGCATGTGTTGCCTGGGTTGTCCGACGGCTTTTCCGTTCTTGTGCTGGTCGGACCAATCTCTCATCTGAACATCGCCCTCGGCTGCGATCCGCCCTGGCTGCAGCCGCCTGTCCTGCGCGTCGGCCGCACGTGAGAGCGACTCATCGCCAGATGGGCCTCTACCCTGCGGCTTTCGGAGGAGGAGGAGGAGGAGGAGGAGGAGGAGGAGGATGGGGAGGAGGAGGAGGTGGAGGAGGAGGGGGTGGAGGAGGAGGAGGTGGAGGAGGCGGAGGAGGAGGAGGAGGAGGAGGAGGCGCAGGAGGAGGAGGAGGGGGAGAGGGGCGGACATATCCAAGACGGCCGGGGGGGGCCCTGCACGTGCCCTGGGGCTTCTCTCGAACGCTCCGACGGGGTTCCCCTGCGAGTGTGGCCAGCGCCCGCCCGTTGGGGCTCGCGTGGCAAACTCTCTCGCTGACCCGTCGGGGCTCATTCCCCAGGTCCTAACATGCGGTTCGTGTTTCCAGTGTGATGGCTCCGCCTTCTCCCGCACGCACCCGTCCGCCCACCCGCGTGCACCCGTGCGTAGAGCTCGGTTGGGCCAGAGATTCGGGTCCACCCATTCTCCGCTTGGCCACATTCAGAGATACCATCACCCGGTCACTGAGACTTCCGAGCAGTCACGCCCAGACTGACTTGTATTCAGACTCACTCATAGTCAGATCCACGCCCACGTGGACTCACTCACACTTAGATTCACGCATCCAGGCCACACACACACACACAAACACCCTCGGTCACTCACACTCAGACCCGTTCATGCTCGCTCCTCACACTCAGACTCGCCCATGCTCACCACGACGTAGCAGACGTGGCATGTGGGCCCCCCCCAGGAGGCAGCCATCACTTTGCAGGACACTTGCCCGTTCCGGGCCAGACTTTGGGCATGCCTCGAGCAGCTTGCTCGTCTGGCGTCCCCGACCTCTCTCTCCTTTGTGCATGGCCTCACGCTCGCTTCGCCAAGCGGGGCCCGGGCCCTCCCCCGTGGGGGCGGCCCCCATATGGGGGGCCTGTCGCCGATCCTTCGGCGCTGTACTGTCGATCTCAAGGTGTTGCTTTCCGCCCGTCGCTCCCCCCTCGGCTTCTCGGCTCAGGAGAAGGCGGAGCCGCAGGCCATCTCTGGCGAACTGACGGTGGGCGGGAAGGCGGAGGCCAAGTACGGCAACAGCTTCTTCGAAGTGACCGTCGTCGAGGTCGGCGACACCACCGTCAAGGCGATAAGCAAGAATAGTTGAGCAGAAGAGTCGAAGAAATTGCGAGGGCAGGATTGTCAGAACGAGGAGTTGGAACATCAAATAAGACATATAGGCACAAGCATGAACTTCCAGAAGTCCGCGCGGATGTGTTGGGTCGGCGCCCAGACACCCGTGGCGTGTTTTGCGCGCCAGGGAGGTGGGTCCAGCGCTGATCCAAGAATTTCGCACGGTCCTGCGACAGTTTATGTTGATGGAGTTGTTTCTTCTTCTTAGGAGTAGGCGACAACAAATTGCATCCTTCCTCTTGCACTCAATCGAGGCACTTATCCTAAAGAGTGCTTGCACTTAGGGACTCTCATTTCTCTCTAAGGACCTGGCCCTGAATGGCGGTCTGGCGGCCATGTCGCCGCCGTCGCCGCCCCGTCGCCACCCGTCGTCTGGCCCTGAGTGGCGGTCTGGCGTTCATGTGGCCGCCGTCGCCGCCCTGTCGCCGCTAGCCGCCTCCCATCTCGTCGCCGCCCAGAGTGCTCAACCTTGACTGCACCAAATAGATTGCACCGCCTAGCTTGCACACAGCATACATTGCGAGATATACTAACATGTATATAGGCAGATTGCACAACATAGATTGCACCACACATATCGCACCATATGTGTGTGTGTGTGGCACAGCATAGGTGGCACAACACATAATGTACCAGGTCGGATGCACCCCATGGGTTGCTTCACCTAGGTTGTTCTTCAAAGCAACATCGGTTGCACAACATAGAAGACGGGACCACATATATGTACTACATAGATTCTCCTTTCTAACAAGAGAATAGACTCTATCCCCCCCCGGCGTTATCGACACCCCTTTCGGGTATGTAAATCATATATTATTCTGGCCACATGTCCATCCTAAATATGAATTTACATTATCCCAGGGGGGCCGGTATCGACCCCCCTGAGGTTCCCTTGTAAACAACGATACGCGGGGACATCTTTCGCTCTAACATAACACTTTGTCACGAATCGCTTGCAAAAAAATGGACGACGTGCACACGCGCGCGCCGTCGCGCGCGCATGCCGAAATCCTCCAAAAACCTTCGGTGTCGGAAGAATTTCGCAATCGAGGTTCCAAAACACATACAAAAACAAAGGGTTTCGCAACACTAATTTGCTAAAACAAGCTTACGCGCGAGCTCTTGCGAAATCTTAAGAATACCATAGGTTTTCCAAGATTTTCACAGAATGCTACCAAACGGGCTTCGCGCGCGCGTGTGCCGTCGCGAGAACCCTCTGCAAAAAATGAGACGACGTGCAGACGCGCGCATCGTCGCGCGCGTACGCCGAAATCCTTCAAAACACATCGGCTTCGGAAGAATTTCAACATCGTGTGTCCAAAAAACCTACAACAACACTAGATCTCGCAACACGGATTTTCAACAAAAGCGTGCGCGCGCGCTCTTGCGTCAACGTCGTCGTCGTCGCAGTCCTCCATCCTCCCGCGTCGTCGTCGTCGTCGCCTACGTCGTCCTCTGTCTTTCCTCGTGTTCGTCGTCGTCGTCCTCTTTGGCGTCGTGGTCGTTTCCGTCGTCGTCGTCGTCGTCGTCCGTCGTCGGCGTCTCGTCGTCGTTCCTCCTATTTCGTCGCCGTCGTCGGCGTCGTTGTCGTCGTCGTTGTCGTCGTCGTCGTCTTCCCTCCTCCCTCGTCGTTGTCGTCGTCGGCGTCGCCGTCCTTCCTCCTTCTTCGTCGTTCGCGTCGTCGCCGTCCTCCCTCCTCCCTCGTCGGTGTCGTCGTTGTCGTCGTTGTCACCGTCGTCGTCCTCCCTCCTCCCTCGTCGTCGTCTTCGTTGGCGACATCGTCGTCGTCTTCGTCGTCGACGTCGGCGTCGGCGTCGTCGTCTTCGTCGTCGTCGACGTCGGCGTCGTCGTCGTCGCCGCCGTCGTCGTCGTCGGCGTCGTTGACGTCGTCGTCTTCGTCGTCGGTGTCGTCGTTGTCGTCGTCGTCGGCGTCGTCATCGTC